TGGGTGAGGGTGTGGAGCAACTGGAATGTTCACACATTGTTAGTGGGAGGGTAAACTGGTATAACCACTTTAGAAAACTGTGGCAAAACAATTTTGCCAAAGGGAAAAACAGATTTTCATAGAATAAAACAGTTTTACCCTACAACCAAACAATTCTAAGTTATATACCATCAGGCGTGCATAATACCAAAAACCACGGGAAGAATATTTACAGAATTATGTATATAACCCAAAATTGGAAAGTGCTCAACTGCCTTTCAACAAGCAGTATGAATGTTTGACATCAACATGCAAGGATGAATCTCACAAACAGGATTTTGAATGAAAGAAGCCAGACACAAAAGAATGGATAATGCATGATAAATTGGCTCTTAGGGTCAACCTTGGTCACGACCTATCCAACATATTGAGAAAGGTAATGGCCTTGAGGAGAGTGGTACCATACATCAGAACACAATTTGGAGGGGGAGGGGGCATTTATCTTGCATTGGCTGCTAATTGTTTGATCTTAGAAAAGTCATTTAACCTCCCTGGACACATTTATCCCATGAAATAGAGATAATGAAACCTTCTTCCCCAAAGCAAATGGCTGTTTTCAAGATCTGTGAGGTCTTGTATAGCTTTAAGATCTATGACCCAATGTGACAGCTTCACTACTTTGTATTTTCATCAATAAAAACATGAATGGTTCTTTTAATAAAAACGACAGTAGGTAACATTTTTCTAAGTACTTTGCATGTGTTACCCACTCAGTCCTCAGAACCAACCCACACCAACCCTATAAAATATATATAATTGATCTCTCCATTGTACAGATGAGAAATCTGAAACTCTGAGAAGTTAAGCAAATTTACCAAAGTTACACAGCTAATAAGTGGTAAAGCCAGAATTCAAACCAAGAAAAATCTAACTCTATAACCCACTTACTTAACTAATCAATATGCGAAGATACCATAGTTACTCCACTTTATCTAAGCTGACAGAGCCTTTAAAATTAAATGTAATACAATCCCATATCTAATCAGAACATAGAATATAAAATGAGATCTACATTATGTCTTAAAACTCTTATTTTGTTCGATCAAGAGACTGATGGTTTTAATTTGTTCATATAAATCTGGCCTTTGAGAATATAGCAATTAAAATAACTATTGCTACTAGGCAAGCTCCAGCCAATTTGGATAGTCATCTTCACATTTCCTGTACTTGATGCCTCTCTAGAAATAGAATTAAAATTTGCCTTCCTTGTTGTTGTTATTTTTAAAATAAAACAAAAAAACAACAATTATAGTCTCTTCTATAAAAGACATAGCATTAGTTCAGATTTGCTTCAGATTCCCTATTTGATAAACCACCTTTTCTGTGAAACAGAGCTCTGTGTTCAAACTGGAATCTACAATCCACTGAAAGGAACATAAATGAATGCACTAAATACTTTTTTTCTAATATTAGTGATTTTCCACAACTTCCCATTTCCTAAAACTTCAGTCAATTATTTTTTGTTAATTCTTTGTTGTCATTTTTTAACCTGGGCTGAGATTTTATGCACTGTAACTAGTCTGACCTCCTCCAATTGCAGAGTTAACCTCAGCCACATATTTACACTTTAAATTTTCTAGAACAATCTTTAATTTGTATCAGTCAGTCTTGCTTTTGGTTAGTTGAGAGCTATGACTGGGACAAACAGATGTGGTGATGTTGGCTGAAAGGGGGAAAGATTGAGAGACAAGAGCAAACTGTGCTTACTCTGCAGTTCAACCTAGACTTCGCCAGATATCGCTTCTCGGCCTTTTGGCTAAGATCAAGTGTAGACTTCGCCAGGACTCCCGATGGCTTTGTATGGTAAACTTGGTTACTAATTGACAAAGGTAGATCACTTACATTAATTGTATCAAGATGGTTTTAAAGAAGGAAGCAGGTTTTCAAAGGACAACACATTCAAACGGAACTTCTCTGGGACTTCTAACGTGCTGAGTATTCTTGGACTAGTCACGTAACTCCTCTTATTAGAAGACAGAGGCAATGCCTCCCTTATAGAGTTGTTGCAAAGATCAAATGAGGAACAAAGTATGTGCCTTCTAACCTAGGGAAATGATATGACTTCATTATGGTTGGTGATTCGGCCTTGACATTCTGCCTTTGGATTGTATCCTGTCTCTGTTTAACTCCACCACATTAGCTCCATGGTAGGGGCAGGAAAGGATAAGGCCCTCCTCCCAACACTTTGCTTATGTAGATTAAATAAAGAAAAGCGACAGCTTGGTTCTCTCTGACTCTTTTCCCAGAAGAACAACCATCTTACTATTCATCAGTATCTATATTTGGATAAAGGGCTGGAGCTGAAGTTACAGAGGGAAAATACAAAGCAGACTGCAAAATAGGGCTGCTCAGAGTTGCACAAACAACTCTGCTGAAGCAAGGCTGCAAACATTAAAGAAAGAACACCAAAAAGTGGCTGGCCACATGCATTTGCCTTGTTCATTTCAATCCTGACAGAAGAACGTTCAGCAGTTAGGGTATGCGTTTCATTTTCCAAGGCTTTTAGAAACAGTGAGTGGTTAATATTTTTAAACAGTTCTCACTAAAGAGTGTATTTTGTTCATTTGATTTCACTAAAAAGGCTATTGAGCAAGGGAGTTTCAATGATAGGATGAGTGCAAGGGCTTATGCTCTTGTTTTAAGAAGTAAAACTCATAGAACTTAACTTCTATTCAATTGAAATTGGGTTCTCATAAATCATAACAGTGATAAAACTGGAAAAATTAACATAAGAAAATGAGACTGTTTCCTTCTCATATGTAACAAATAGCGAGATACACACATGTATAACTATTGGCTTCTTTCACTTTTGGAATATATGAAAATCTGAACAAGGTAAACAAGTCAGTTAATGATTACTTAATTTAAGTGTCATTTATCTTTTAAAAGATAAGTTTTTGCAAAACTTTTAAGAAGCACATTTCTCGAAGTATTTTTAGTGACTGAGTTAAGATTGTGCATGTGGAGACACAGTCCTCAAAATCTCTAAGAATATTTACTATATAAACTAAATGCGTATTTCCCTCAGGAAAAAAAAATTCTATGAAAATGTCTTGCTAGCTCTTGTAAAATGCTGAATTCAGAACTGGAAGTTCAAATTCTCAAAATAGAAATAGACATAGGCACAAATCCTCTATATTCCACGATACTAATGTCACTGAATATGACCAGAAAGACAAAGTTGCATTGTCCTTACTATTTTCAATCACATAAAATGAAAGACTCAAATGAGTTACTTTGGCATTTCTTCAGTGATGCTGTGGTCTCCTCACTGATTACTTACATGCAGCTTTCACTATTTTATATACGAGGCAAACACAGGCAATTTTCAATTATTAACACCAAAGTCTGCCAGAATCACTTTGCATTAATGAATCTCAAAATATTTTACCATTTCAGTGAGTCTAACTGCATGTTGTTGGGATGATGTCAAGTATAGTCTGATTTAGTAGGCAGCTTACTGTTGGTAACAGAGACAAATGGTAAAATCAGAATTGAAATGCAGTACTTCTGACTAATGCATCTATCACGATGATCCATTATTTCAATCAGCCTGTCTCTAATAAAATCGGTATCACTTTAAGTAAATATATCATATTCACAGGGAACCATTTAGAAGTATTGGTGGAAAAAAGAATAAAAGAAGTTAAAGCAAAAAGTATGACTCCTGCTACTGTCATGAATGTTATAAATAGAAAGCCCTATAGAGGGCTCTTCCTCCTCCCACCTCCAACTCTCTACAAAGGAAATTACAGAATATTGCCACAAGTTTTAGTTATTGAGACATGTGCAAGAAAAAAATGACTCCTCACCAAGGAAATTAGCTAGTGACATGTATAAGAACAATTGCATTGAATTCTTCCTGGTTCAGCCCAATCTACTTGACTAGGCTAATACACTTTCATGAAATGGATTGGCTTCAATGTAAAGGCTAATCAAATTAAATAGAAATGAGCTCCCGAGAAAATTAAATCAATGAACTACAAAAATACCTTCTGATTTTCCACTGACAGTTGTCGCTGTCATCAGCAGTAGCACATTGCATACTACGTAGGCATGACTAAGGTATGGCAATGGTAAGGTAGGTGGGGCAGAGTAAACCTAATAACCTTAGCAAAACATTCATTCCCTCTCCCTTCCCCTCCCCACCCATTAATCTCTGTCTTTGTGTGTATATATATATGATTATACTGCACTTACATAACCCTATATATTCTACAAACACACTTTATAACAACTTACTTTTCACATATGTTACTATTCCTTTGAATAATAACTGCTAAATTTTCAATGTGCCTTTAAACAAGGATTTAAGGGCAATCTTCTAAAGTACAAGTAACAGAGGTGCAATGCTTTCTGTTTTTGAATGGGTGATATAGACCCCATTTCTGGATAGCAATGAATTCAAAGAGCATTTTCTGAAATCAGAAGTGAACTGCATGGCTGCTAGACAGCAGGGCAGTTTCCTTACCCAGGGGTGTGAGCCTATTTTTATGAATAAAAGGCCATGGCCTTGTCCATGCTGGATGATCCTATGATAATGTTTCTTTCTGTAGTTTGGTCCAATGAAACTGGTGTATCGTCTGCTGTTGAATGCCACTTGCATCATGGATTTTCTTGGTTATCATGCCTAAAAGTAGACCATTCTTGACCTACTTGGAAGGTATTTATATCAAGTAGTGTGATGAAAGAAATACCTTCCACTCAGTTTCTTACACTTTTTTCTTATTGCCATTATGCAGATAGATTCCTCCAAGAAAACATTTTTCTGGTAAAATAAAAAAGAGCCTTTTAAATGGGAAAGAACTGATCAAGCAAAAGAGAGAAGATACGCTTTCTATTTTCCATCATTTCTAGAAGTTATTTAGCTTGGCAAGATTAAACCAATGATGGGTGAATATTTATAAATCCAATGCTTTATTTTTGCCAGAGAAAGTATTCATCATAAAAGTTATGCTCACATTTGCATTCTTTGCAGCACTTGCCATCCACGTATGCAAGAGCCGACTTCAGTGGGCAGTCAGGATTGGGGCAGGTCAGAGTTTCGCACTGGATGGTTCCATTCTGAGAAGAAAACAACATTTAGGGAATTTCCAGATTGCAATTTGGTAGTCTTCAATTATTTTTAAATCTGTTTCTTAAATTTCAAACTCTTCCCATAACATTTCATAAATACCACTATTCCCTTTGGTTATTACACAGTAACACCCGTAACACAGAGGCCCACAGTAGTATAAATTGGGTCATAACACACTTGGTGATTGGCTCCCATCTTCTGTCCAACAACTGATCATAACTGAGCCAGAGCTCTCATCTTGTGTAGCCAGGTGGGTGAGGACATGGGTGGAGGGAAAGGCACACACTGACCAGGAAATAGCAGGTTAAGGGTAAGCCTCGGACACTCATGTCTCCCCAGATTACTCACAAATGCACATCAGCAAACCAGGAGAATAACTTGTGCCATCCTGAAGAGTAGTCTCAGGACTCAGAATCCTCCCCTGGGTATTTAAGACGGCACAGACTATCACATGAGGTGGTGCCCGCGATCACCACAAGAGGTGCCAAACTACAATCAGAAGGGCAAGGAATTTGATTCCTGGAGGTGATCCAGGACTCCCAGGTTGCTAGCTGTTTTTCTAGTCGTTTTATTGACCCCACTATACCACATCCGTGTTTTACTCAGTTTGAGTTTTGACCCCAATTAACAAGTTGGGAAGGCTTTCCTGTATTCACAAAGTGCTATAACTTTAGTAGGAGCATAATATGTCTCTGAATAGAAGTCACATAACGTACACACACACACACACACACACACACACACACACACGGGTGAGCTACTTTGACTTCTTTACATGCATGATATTTTGCTTTTGAATAAACTTGGGGGGAAATTTTTTTTATAAGACTAATTCATGTAGACCTTTGATTGCTTTCCACTTAACCAGTTTCAACAGATGAATTCATGTGGAATTTGAAAGTTCAAAACCAAACTAGTTGTGACCTTTTCTCTGAACTTAAACATGTATTTTTGAAATAATAATGTACTACATATTCTGCTTTATTAGTGAGCAATTGGAGAAATCATATACTTAAACTCTATAATTTGTATTCCACTGTATTAGTAAACTTTTAAAGCTTATCTTAATTAAACTGCACCCTTTGTTTATATGGACCAATCTGGTCACAATAGCTCATGCTGCATTCAGTTTTATTAAAATACATTAATAAACACATGAGGGGAAAATTCCTGGAAATGTTAAGGATCACAGGATAGAATCCTTTGAGACTCACCTTACTAAACCAATTTAAATTGCTAAGTGTACCAATAAATTTAAATTTTATAGCATTCCACAAACATTGTAACCTTTATAGGCTAGGAAGTATCTTTAATAATGCAGTACACAGTTCTTCAGATTTGACTGGGTTTGCTGGCACTTCAGTGTGGTGCCTTTCTTAAGGAAAAGGCTCTTAAAATTTTCATGATTACATTATTTTAATCCATTTTTAAAGAGTGGGGGCATCCGAGTTTCCTTCATCTAAAAAAGAGTTGAAAGCCATACCAAGCATGTGCAGTTCTTACAGCCGTCTGTCCAGGATTCGAATTCTCGGTAGGTGGTTCCCTTCATGGTACAAGTCCTTTCACAATAGCACTGATCCAACCTATTCATTCGCTGCTCAGCCCGAGACAACTGTGGCACAAAGGAAGGGGTTTGTATTGTTCACCACTCCAGCAATGAAGAAATGCAAAATAGTCTAGCAGGTATCTGATTTTTTTTTTAGTATACAGCAGTAATGATGGCTATGCCCATCAACTACCTGTTATAAATATATTTATGCCTTTGATTTAAAGCAAAGGATTTTCCCCCTCTTATTTTTGTAAATTTCCTCTTGCCTTTGAAAAAGTAGCATAATTTAACAGATATAAATGAAGGCTAAGTCAAAATAGCATCAGACACAATACAGAGAAGCACTTTCCACTTTTAAAAACGTTTAATTTCATAAACATGTCAACTCAAGTGAGATCATAAGTTTTAGAACTTATATTGTGTCTGACACAAATCATCCATATACAATATAATTTTCAATCATTAGTAAGTACTATGCAAAATGACAACAGCCTGATGAAATTGTAGGCAAACTTGAGACATGCTTTAAACAGTGAATTATCCTACAGCTGCGGCACAGTGTAGAAAGCATTGGTGGGACCATTTCCTTGACATAACCCCAGTGTCCACATTCTTTGCAATATCCTCCCGTCTCCTTCCTTTGAAAGGAAAACTCAATAAAATGAACACTAAATCCTGTTGTAATAAACAGTGTAAAAATAGGTAATTTGCCTCAATCCTGACTTACTGAATCATTTGTTATACAGATGGCCAGCGCTGAATATTTATAAGCCCTTTCCTTAGACAGGGATTTTGATTTAGATTTAACCCCAGCAAAGAATACAGCATAAGAAAAATCTCAAAGGTAGACACCTGTGCTTATTAAAAAATCCTATAAGGAACCTCAAGGGTTTTTGAGCTCCCCCACACTGAATTTCTAAGTAGCTTTTACCTTGGCTGATGTTTTTGCCAAAATGTCCTGCAGCTCCATGATTTTCTGCACAAGCCCATGGAAGTCATTGCAAGTTGGACAAGCTGAAATTGCAAACACTACATTGGTCAAGTTGTATTTATAAGGGGTTCAATCTGATTAAGGCTATGCTGACAACTCATATATGGGAACTCCAATTTCACACTGACAACCTGGACAAAATTAAGCAAGAAGCACACCCTTAATCACACAGTGCAAAAACTAATGGACTTACTGCGATTAAGATCTGGGCACTGAACAATGAATCCTTGGGGCATGACAAGTAATTGCACATCTTGCATTATTCCCTGTGTGTGAAAAATTAAAGAAGAAAACATTACTTTCATCTATTCAAATTATGTTCAACAGTCAAGTTCATGAAGGAAAACATCACAGGACAGAATCATCAAAATCCCTGAGTAAAATCTTTTTTAATATATTGTTTTGACTTCAAACCAAAGGGAAAGAAATACATAAGGAAAAATAGATGATTACCCATGGACTCTCTTATTGATAACATTTTTGAAACCTCTAAGATCAAATGTCAAGATATGATTAAGAGGCAATGTTTTGAGAAGTTATCTGTAGTAAGCCACTGAAGTAAGGCTTGAAAATGACCTTTAAAAATCAACCTAAAACTCATTTCTGGTTTCACCAACAGTGAAACTAATACTAATTTTAAACTGCAATCATCAAGAGAAAAGAATAGAAAAACTAGTTATGAAAGCAATGATCATTTGAGCATTTCTCATTTTTCAGAGCAATCTTTTGAAACTTTTCTCAACTCAAAAAGGACAATAGATAAATTAAACAGCTATGCAAGACTCAGTGACGAGTCCTTCAGAGTACAGAAAGTTTAGCATGAATTTGTTTTAAATGCTGGCTGAAAATAACACATCTTACACAGAAGGAAGGCCCTATTACATGTTTATAGGAAAAATTTACATGCGTCCTTAGTCATTAAGGTATAATCAGCTTCCAGCTTTTGAACTCTTAAAGCAAAGGTCAAATGGTATTTCAGGAATGACCTCATCAGACACACTCCAGCTGCCCCTCTCACCCACCACCCTCCTCTCTTCCTGCACCAGTTTTATATATTTTCTCTTATTAATATTTCACCTTATCTCTTTGAAAAATGCAAACAGAATGTCTAATGACAGGAATGATAGTACCAACATATTTTCAAGACAATTTTGAACACAGATTTAGCAAGTAGCTCCTACATGTTTAATCTGATTAATAGTGTGGTACAAAAAGAATGCCAATGTGAATGATAAATATTTTAGTGTACTGTGGCAATGGCTGGATCTGTTGTCTGTTTGGATTTAGATTAAGGAGGCAATTTATATACAAACTCCTATCACTTGGAGGAGGCAACATAAGAACAAAGTCATTGTGTGCATGCGTACTGCACAATTCTAGTAGGCACCATTCAGAATCTGCAATAAAAAGCAGGATCCCTAGAGTAGTCACATAATCAATGTCTGAGAAGGATTCTGAGACCACATCTGGGCTCCACGGGAAAGACTGTTATGATTAAATAGAGAAGAGACTTGGCACTAACAGCACACATTTGCAATCCCTTACAGAGGAAAACAGCATTGAATTTTCAGGATTTGCAAAAATGGGACCAATTCCCCATGACTAACTTCGGAGAAGCTATTTAAGCTCTATGAGCAGGCTTATGCATATGTAAAAGAGGACAAAAAGTCTATGCATCAAAGCCAGCATGCCTAGGAGAGATGAAATAACATATTCAAAGCACCTGGTTCCCAGGTAACAGACAATGTTTAACTTTTAAAAACACCTCTCTAGGATTATAAACCTTGCTTAAAATACATTTGTAAAGTTATTGGTACCTAGTCTACCTAAAAATTCACGAGTTGGACACACACCCCTGTCATTCTTTTATTTAACAGCCATTTGCCAGGTCACTTCTATATCATAGTCACTGGGGGGAAATGATTATACTTATGGGCTTACAGTCAAGAAATACTCTGGACTTTATTTCTTCATCCTTTAAAGACAGATAATTAAAAGGTATGTCTTTTAGATCCTCTACAATGTGAGATTCTACAGAGTGTGTGTCTAAGTAGACACTAAAAAGAAGATATAAATTATGGTTGCTTTCTACTTTTGGTAGATTTGTGCATATATATATATATATATATATATATATATATATATATATTCCTTTCTCGCTTTCTGGTGTATAAGGAGCCCATGAATAGTGAATATTAAAAAGCTTTCAATCCTTTATTAATAACATCCCTGTGAAAGTATCATCAAAAGTTATACTTCAGTGGGGGAGAGTTTATTTGTATACTAATATTTTAGGCTTTTATTACTTTGAATGTCTAATTTCAAGAATGGTATGTTAACTGCCCTGATTTCAGCCTTGTGGTCTTCTATATAATGTCTAAAGATCAAACTCATTAGGGAAAAAAGAGAAGATAGTGTTCATCAGCTAAATATCATGCCAGCTAAAAGAAAAGAAGAAATAAAACACAAATAGAAAAATCTACATAAGTAAAATTATCTTGTTTATCACCATAAAAAGCAAAATGAATTTTTCTAAACTCATGAGAAAGCATTTGTATTTATACTTTATGATCAGACTTTAGTCAAAGGATACCTTAAAATATCCATGTGCATTATTTCTCTGTCCCAGCCAAAACGTTGTGCCTACAGGCAAGTCTGTGGAGGGCTTTTCCACCACTCTTTCATATATTCTGGAAAAAAATAGAAACATCAGATAAGTGGTGTAAGTTAGCAGTTATTTCTTAGCATCTTCCATTTCCTGAACTGAGAACATTTCACTTACTTATTGCAGTCGATGTGTAGAGTCAAATGGGAGGCACTGATGGCTAAGGAAAGCTTGTGCCACTTGTCATCAGCCAAAATGTACGGAAACACTTCCGTGTGCGGGCGGTGACTGCCAGAGCGGTAGTGCAGTCTGACTTCATTCCGATGGCCGCTGCTTTCCAGTTCCAGGTACCTGCACAGGGAAGAGCCGTATGGAGCCCATTGAAAGTTAAGTTCAAATGTGACTGACATGATTCCTGCTTCCAGAAAGATGGAGTAGATATGCTTTTCCTATCCCTCCCACTAAGTACAACCACACATTATATTATAAAACAAACATAAGAAGAGTCTGAAAGATGGAGGAGAGAAAACAGTGAGGGACCTCAGGACCTGAGGAACCAAACAATGGTGAGTTTCCTAGGTTTTCTTTTTGCCTCATATATTCAGACTTGGAACTGAAGAAGCCAGCAACCTGAAAATACCAACAGATGCAATACAAAAAAAAAGGAAAGAAAGAAAATGGAAAATAAATAAAAGTAAAAGCCTGCTCTCCCTAGCCAAACTACCAGAAAAGATGAAGACTAGCAAGACAAAAGTTTTTAGAGAACAATCACTCTATTCTAGTCAAACACCAAAGAAAAAAAAAGTAGTCATGCCCTCAACCCTGTCAGCAAATGCCAAGTGGGGACATTAGGTTTCCATCCTCTTGAGGCAAAAATGATGTACTCAACACTTCCAGTAGGGTGGTGAGAGAGAACAAGTAGAGAACCAAGACTTTTAACCCAGCTGGCCAGTCATAAAGCTCCCCACGGCATCAGTGGAGACCACATGAGTGGGAGCTTGGTCTCGTATCCTTATCTGGTAGTAACAAAGCACACTGCCCGCTCCCAACTGTGATGGTGTCAGGGGAAGCTTAGTAGAGTCAGGACTTTCAACCACACAGCAGTAATAAGACCCTCTCTACCACAGTGTCAGTAGAGACCATGAGGGGAGTTGGAAATTTCACTCCCACCCAGAAATATTAGAAGCTCCCTCTCAGTTCTCAACAGAAGGCCAAACGGGGAACTTGGACTTCTACCTCCACATGTAAGTAACAAGAAGGCACTCTCCCATCCTCTCACAGAGCAGTGTCAGCGAAATCTAACACAAGGAGTTAAAATAATATCCAAGTCTCAGAACATGATGCAAAAATGAGCAGGTTTAAATTGAAAATCATATGCCATACCAAGAACAAAAAGATGTCAAATTAATGACAAAAAGACAATCAATAGATATTAACAGCAAGATGACAGAGATATTAAATTACCTGACAAACATTTTATAGAATCACTGATAAAAAGAAGCATTAACAGCCTGTCAATGTTGCTCAGTTGAACCTTGACCCATGCACCAAAAAAGTCCTCGGTTGGATTTCCCAACAGGACACATACCTGAGTTGTGACCTCGATCCCCATCAGGGGGCATGCAGGGGGCAGCCTATAGATGTTTCTATCTCATCAATGTTTCTATCTTTCTCTCCCTTCTCCCTTTCCCTTACTCTCTTTCTCTCAAAATCAGTAAAAATATATTTTTAAAAAGCAATAACATCCCTAGCTTATTTGGTTTGGTAGATAGAGAGTCAGCCTATGAAAAGGCGGGGGGAGATGCCAGGTTCAATTCGGGTCAGGGGCACATGCCTGGGTTGCAGGATCACCCCAGGAGCGGGTATGTGGGAGGCAGCTGATCAGTGGTTCTCATCATTGATGTTTTATGTCTCTTTCCCTCTCCCTTCTCTCTGAAATCAATAAAAATATTCTTTAAAAAAGCAATAACAAATATATTTGAACACACTTGAAACAAGGAAAAAACAGAAAGCCTCAGCAAAGAAAGAGAAGAACCAAATAAATAATCAAATGAAAGTTTTAAAATTAAAAATATAACAAATAAAAAGCTCAAAGGATAGGCAACCAGTAGAATGGAGGGCACCAAGAAAAGATCAGTTGACTGAAAGATAAAAATTACTCAGTCTGAACAAATAGAAAGAAAATAGACTGGGGGGAAAATGAAGAAAGTGTCAGAGACCTGTGAGACTATAACAAAAGATCTAAGATTTATATAATTAGAGTCCATAAAAGAGGAGAAAGAGGGTAGACTGAAAAAGTACTTGACTAAACAATGACTGAAAACTTCTCAAATTTGGCAAGAGACATAAATTCACATATTCAAGAATGTAAGCAAACCCCAAACAAAATCAATTTTTAAAAATACTCATCATAATTAAAATTATAAAAACAAATACAAAATGTTAAAAGCAGACAAAAAAATCAATACATTGTAAATATGGGGAAAAGAAATTAGAATGGTAGTGGACTTAAGGAAGTGGCACATAGTTTTTATGTGATGAAAGAAAAAGCTGTCAGCTAAGAATCCTATATCCAGCAAAAATGAAGAAGAAATCAATACATCCTGAAATGAAGAAAAAGTAAGATCATTTGAATCAAGTTTTAAACTTAGATGTGTTATGTTTAAGGAACCTCATGAACACTCAAGAGGACATGTAGAACTATAAGTTTGTACCTCTTAATCCCCTCCACCTTTTTACCCCCTTCACTGCCCAATCCTCTAGCAACTAAGTTATGTTTCTGAATCTATGAGTCTGTTTTGTTTGTTCATTAGTTTATTTTAGGTCACATATAAAAGTGAAATGATATAATAGTTGTCTTTCTCTGATTTATTTCACTCCCCACAATATCCTCTAAGTTAGAGTTATAACATAAGTCACAGGTATGTAAAGTACAGCATAGGAAAAATAGTCGATATTGTAATAACTTTGTACAATGACAGATGGTTACTAGACTTCTTGCAGTGGTCACTTTGTAAGGTATACAAATGTCAAATCACTATGTTTTACACCTGAAACCAATATAATATATGTCAACTATACTTTAATTAAAAAGAGCTTTATATTCCAGAATGAAGAAAAAAAGAGGACATGTCTGAGGTGGAAAAAGGTCCATAATGGAGATAAAAATGTGGGGAGTTATAGGCATGCAGATTGTATTGAAAGCCATCAAGGCACAGGGAATACCTTGGAAATTATTATAAATGAAAGGACACTTTAACATTTTGAGGAGAAACCAGCAAAAACAAGCAAAAAAAAAAACAGTAAATGTAGCTAGTGAGAGTAGGGGAGGAAAAATGACAGTGGTATCCCAAAGGCCTGGTGATGAAGGAGATGCCTCAAGGAAGAGGGAGTAATGAACTGTTTCAAATGCTGCTAATAGGTCAAATAAGATAAAGGCGGAACCACTGGATTTAACAAAACGGGTTTCTGGTGACCCTAAAGCTATTTCAGAAAATTCTATGGAAAATAAAGCTTTCTTGAAGTAGGCTCCAGAGAGAACGGGCAGAGAGAAGTAAGAGATAACAAGTACGGACACCTCGGGAGGGTAGCTATTGAAAGACACTGTCAAGGTAAGAAATTTCAGTTGGTAAGAACTACTAATACACATTTTTGTATTCTGCTGGGAATAATCTGTAGATGGTAGAAATTAGCCATAATTGAAAGAGGTAAGAAATTAGAATAAAACAGAAACCATAAATTAAAACATCGATTAATTACATGTCAACTGCATAACATTCAAAGAATTCTCAACAGAAAGAATAAAATTACACAACAAATGACATTCTATGAGACAAGGTTAAATACATGATAAATCAGAGGTTAATGAAAAGTACCTGCAAATCAATAAGAAAAAGCAACTTAATGGATTTACCAATCAGATAAGCAATAATAAAAAATAATAATATCTAGTGTCAATAAAAATGTAGAAAAATAAACACTCTGGTACACTATTTGTGGCAAAATAAATTTACAGGGACTTCTTGAAAGCATTTTGGTAAAACTATCAATATATTAAATGTGCATACACTTTAAATCATAATTTCAAATCTAAAAATCTATGCAAAATAACAGCACAAATTAGCAATGATGCATGCAGAAGGTTCTGCCTAAAGATTTATTTAAAATACTAAAAACCTGATAAAATGCCAACTATTCACTCAGAGTAATTATGATAAATTCATATTCTAAAACACTGTGCCACTCTATAAAAGAATGATGTTCAGAAATGAAACAATGCCATACTTTACTATTAAGTAAACAACAAAAAAATTATATAGTATCCCATTTTGTTTGCAAAAACTATGTGTGTGTTTACAGAAGAAAAAATCAAGAAGAACATATCAAATGTTAAGAATAGTTACCTCAGTGGGGATACGACTAAGGGGAAAGATTGTGAAGGACATTTCACATATTTTTAAATCCTTGAATTTTCTTAATTACATATTAATTTTTAATGTAATATATATAGTACAATTCTACTTTAAGATTCAAAATAAACCATGTAGTCAAGAACAGAATCCTTTCTATATTATTATTTGATAACAAGTATTCATTATTTAATTAATTCAATTAGTAAATTCTATAATGTGAGAGAGGTATTTGCATTTTTTTAAAAAATAACATCAGCAAACACAGTGGCCTATTGCTATATACTTGTCAGTTCTTAACCCACTGAGGCGTAAATCCTATTATTGCTGTTCTCCTCTAGCTATTATTAGAAATGGTACCTATATTGAATTCCTGAACTTGAGACACTAAACTAACCTTTCATAGCAATAAGGCTGACACTATGTCCCTATAAACAAGAACAACCTTTCAAAAGTTAAATATTTGACCAACAGTCATTAGCATCATTCATTCAGCTTTTTTAGAAATGAAATAGATATACAGGGTGTCCAAAAAATGCATAATACACAAAAACATTTAATAAAGACAAACATAAACAATAATGTAAAACACTTAAAAGTGTGTCTAGCACATGGTTAGTATTCAACTAAAGTGAGCCCTCATTAAAATAAGAAAAACAGATTGAAAAGAAGTTGATCCATATCTTCAAAACCAGTCACTAGAAGATGAATAAACTTGTATGAAGACATTAAAACACAGGAAAATATGATTATTGCATAATTACTAGTATAAGTTAAAAGTATCTGCAATGAACACTGGGCTTATTTTAATGAATCATTGTTCTAGTAACAACCATATTCTCTTCTGGAACTCCACTGTCCCCCACTGGTGCCATCTCAGTGGGAGGCAGGCCTGCTTCCCCTCCCCCTACTGCCCACAGGCCCAGTAGAATAGAGTGGTTA